ATGAGGGCACGGATAGTTTATCCATGTTTTTACAGACTTGTTAATTTGAAAACTCCTATCATATATCTTTACGTAATGGATTTGATGTTTATTATGATATAAAGTATATTTATTGGGTTTGCGAGGTTGAGCAAGGCCATGCTAAATGTATTTTTTTTATTAATTTCCGTCTCTTTTCTGTATGAATTGATTTTAAAAAGATTGAATATTTATCAATTTACTAATAAAACGTATCGGAGGGCTTCCGCCTTCTTCTTCAGTTCAGTATGTTAAAAGTAAGAGTAGAGTAAAATAAAAATACTGTTCTTTTCTATTTACAACTCTGTCTAAACGTTTGTTTTTCTTTGATTTTCCAATAGTGGAACGGAAGGGCAAGACCAAGGGGGAACAAACTGATTTCGGGAGTCTAAATCAATTTGAAATCACTTAAAATCACTCGAAATCATCTGAAATCATCTGAAATCATCACTTGCTGTTTATGAGCATGGTTTTCTACGGTATTTAAAAAGCTGAAAAACAATAAGGAAAACACTCTTCTGTTATGCTTTTTGTTTGATACTATTAAAAAATAGCTTTTTACATTAGTAACTACTAAGCAATAATACTGCACAAACTAAATATTGTAACGTATATATTGGTATTCGCTCATTTTTCAGGAAGTTACAAAAACGTCATAACAAGAAAACATGATAAACATAATAAATATCTTTTAGATATCGTTTAACCTAGGTATCTAGGGTTTTACCCATTTTTTAAATTGAACGCGTTATTAGCCTAGCTAAATAACCAACATATACACGTGCTTCTCCTATGTTCATTTTTTTCTTCGTCATCTTTGGAAGATATTGTGCCCTTTTCTATTGATTTTGTTCGCATCTTTCTTTCTTATTCTTCTTTTGTTCAAAATGAATTCTAATGTACCATCGGATGTTATGGAATTGGAAGGAGATACGTTTTTTGACTTCGCTAAATAATATTCAGATGAAAAAGTGGCAAACTTGTTGGAATTTCAAGATATTACTAATGTTAATTGTTTACTTGCTTGCAAAGATCCTCTTGAAATATTATTGCTCGATTCGGATGATTTACTTGACTTAAAGAAAGCAGTATGTTTGAAATTGAATAATAATTCATTTACTGTTTTACCCGGTGTAAAAAGTAAATTAAATGTTTTGAAGTGTGCTTTGACTAAGAAGCGTAATGAATTAAAAAGAGAATCATCGAATATATCTTCTAACAGTTTAATTACAAACATTTTATCTGATAATAACTTAATTAGTAATAATTTGAACCATTCTGCAGATATATTAGCTGCAACAGCAACAAATACATTTACATCATCGATTAACAATTATGTTACTGCTCAAGAAACCATAAAACGTTATTTAATTGATTCAATTGATGACTGGTGTAAAAAAAATGAGAACAACTGATGATCAATATGAAATGTTGGAGCTCAAGGAGAATCTCGACTATGATGTTATTATTGATCTAGATGGAAGCCAAGTTTTTATTCGGTGTAAGTGTGGTACAATAGCAAAATTAGGCAAGAAAGACAACAATTACATAGTAAGTTATTCCTTTGTCGAATATTTGAACTAAATAACTATTAGAAGGAAAGTAGAATGAGTTAATAAACAGTGTTCAATCCTTGTTATTAATGATAATATTCGATATTTTTTATCTACTTGTCTATTCAGATGCGTAACTGTAAGAATACATTACAATGCATGATAACTTTCAATCGCCGTTTCAATTAAGGAATTTAAAATCGGAACTAAAACAGGATGTTGTCAGATTAATCAAGTATTTTACTTCTACTTATCTTTCGAAATCATTTTCATGAAATTGATTAAAATTTAAAAATGAGCCAAATAATTACATAGAGATATATATAAAATGTGGGTTAGAGTAAAATAACAGTTCCTTTTAATTGAAAACAAAACGATACTTTGTCATAATTGTATGTGTAGTTCTTTAAAAATATCGGTTCAATTTATGCTAAAATCCGTAAATATGAACTATCTTTCCCATGTCCTGTCATTTGAAAAAAACTTCAAGCCACTGAGAACGTCGACGAAAGTGAAATTTCAACATTTGAAAATACAAATCCATCGATAGATTCATTTGAGAAGTCTGTATCAATTGAAAGAAGAAAAAGAAAACCAAGACCTTTTGTGACTGAAAAAATCGAAACCCTCAAAAATTTTCACAGTTTTGGTTTTGAGTCAAAACCAAAACTTCAAAACTGAAACCATATCAAAGCCAAAACCATCAAAACCAAAAAGGTTTGGATGTGGTGCATACCTAAACAAAACATTGTTACAAAACACAACAATGACCAAAATTAAGTCAAAGAACTGTAACAAGAAATGATTTATCTCATTCCCTTTTATAAAAAATTTAAAACACTTCCTTTACTACTATTAATTAGGAAAATTCGAAAAACGACAATGACCCTACAACAAACTGAAACTATCACGCAGACCGCATCGACCAAATACCAATGATAAGCAAGTTTCTCAACTCAAGACGATTAATCCACAAAACAATAAAAGTATAATCATAAACATTTCGAAAAAATATCCATGTCAACAATTGATTCATACATCCTATAAAATAGATAAAAATATATCAAACTGATTCGGAATTTAATCCAATCAAATTTCCAATAGAGTCCAAATTTCTTTTTTTTTCCAGATATATCTCTACAAATAATTTGAACCAAAACAATAATTGGCATCCAAACATGAGGAATGAAATCTACAGATTATGGTACCTGGTCACACTCACACCTAAAAATAACCAGTAATCAGTACAACACTGCAAATATCGATAGAAATAAATGAGTATACGTTTTAGAAGACATTGGCTTTTTCTAGCTTTAATTATACAAAAATATATATAAAATAATCGAAGCGTAACACTTATTATCTTGTGATGATTAGTTTTGCGTTTTATTTGAGTCTAAAATGTAACCAATGTATGCAAATAGATCTTGGACTGTCCCGATTATTAGTTGTTGAAGTTATTTCAGATATTTCGTCTGTTATATTAGTATTACTTTTACTAATTTTTCAATAATTAAATCATTCATTTCAACATCATCATTCATCGCTGCATCATGTAAAGACTGCCAAGAATGAGCATTTGTTCTTGGATTTTGTCCAACAACTAATTAATACAGTGTTTTTCTCGGAGTGTGTGTCTTGCGAATATTTATACGAAAAATGACAGATGGCAGACCTAGAGACCAATGATTACTCGAATTATCTTCCATCCATTTACCTTAGAAAGATAATAAAACAAACATAGCGTAATTATAAATCTTAATCTTTTTAGGTAGAACGTTCATAATGAACGTCTATTTGATTATAAGGAAACAAAGAATTAGATGATCATTTACCAAGAGCATCTGTTAGTATAGCGTTTACACGTTCAATTAGTCCTTGCGATTGAGGATGTCGTGGTCTGCCGTGTACTATAATGCATTCCTATAATTTTAAGATTTAGTTATAATTGTAAAATTAAATTGTTTATACAAAGAATAATAATGAACTAAATGAAAAGCAAAAGACTTTATGGGTAGCATGAACATATTGACCTGGAAAATCAACTTGAAGACTATTTATTGACAAATTCACGTCCATTATCTGATTGAAGAATGACTGGAGCACCAAGCACGAAGAAAATCTCTTGTAAACAAGTTCCCAGGTCGAGCAATCCGACAGTAGGCACCTATCGGAACCCATCCGATCCGACTGGAATCCAATAGGATTTTATCGGATCCTGTCAGATCTTACAGAATTATCGTTGGATTCCGGGTCAAGGAATCGATGTCGGATCCTCAGTGTCGGATTCCTATGAATTCCAAGGGAAAATCGTTGTATGCCATCGGAAGTCCATAGGATTCCGACACTGAGGATCCGACATCGATTCTTCGACCCGGAATCCAATAGAATTGTATCGGATTGCAGGATATTTCCAGGTTCATATCGGATCCGATGTCGGATCAGTCGACCTGGGTTATAAACTTCACGAGATTCTTTATGTTCTAATGGTTTCGCCCAACAAAATTTGGTAAATGATCTTTTAATTGCAATATCCAACGATAAACCTTTCTATCGAAGATGGCACCTGAACGAGTTCTCATGTCTATCAAATTCATTTGAACACATGTCATGAATTCTAGATTAAATATGAAGAATTTTATGGGGCTGTATCAATTTTTATCATTGCCAACAACATATACTATTAGATGAATTAAAAGCTTCAGAGTTATTGATTTTTAACAAACTGAAGAGTCAATATAATGACATCAAACAAGTGAACTAAAAATCATATTGTGATTAAGAGTACTTACAATGAAAACTATAGTTAAAATGGGATTATTTTCATAATAGTTTCGTAATACAAATGAAAATAGGACATTGAACATGCGTCGGTCTGTTCCGTTTTCTTTTCTCAATTCAATTTAGTATTCATGGTAATAATCTCAGTAATAGTAAAGCACTCTACCTATAGTGCAATAATTGGTTTTCGTTTTTGACATGCCGAACAATTTTTAATGAATAATTGTAAGAGTTTACGATTAGCTATTAGAACTGCCTTTTTTGTTGTTGAATCATAAAGCAAAAATTTTGTTCCAGAATTTGTATTACAAAAGATGTTCGACACCATGATATGAAACGTGCATTATAACTAGATTAATAATTATATGTAAGACATTCAATTGTTTTTTCTCGAAATTTACTATTTATGGATTTGATACATTCGTCGGGATTCTTTATAAAATTCTTTTCGACATAGATTGTCTGATGTCAAGACACAATTCAGTCCGATAATTTATACAATATGTAATAATTTGATATGCTTTTCAGTGATTGACGTTTGATTGTAATTTCCACTTATGACTTACCTTTCTTCTTATATAAAACTATAGGCTTTAATATGAAAAGCTATAAGTTTTCCGACCCCTAGAATAATATTTTTTCTCTCGACGAGTTAATGATTTTCTGCGTTTAAAAAATAGTCTCTTTTATATTTCAGTTGATCGTAAACAGGACAAAAATGAAAGTAGTATCGTGAAGTTTATACTTTATGATTCACATTTCTTATTAACATCACTGATCAAACAGTTGTTTCCATTCGATTTTATAAAAGTTTTCTATCATATATTTTGATAAGAAGAAATATTCAGATTAAATCATTTGCTGTTTAATACAATCAAATACTATCCGATTGATAAGGGACATTTCTATATATGATTTACACTTTTTTACAACAATAAAAGAAACAAAAACAATGTTTAGTTCAGTTCGCCCAAAGAAAAACAAAAAAGAATGAGAAAGAATTGTTTTTATATTCAAATTAGTTGTTAATAATGAGAATCTATCAATCTGTTTGTTTCAATTGATTTGATTTTATATTTTTATGTTCATATTATAACTGTTGTCATTATTGATCAAAATACTCATTTTACCTCATAATTATGAAAGGATTTTCATAAGTTATTTTGATAAGAGAAATTATTCAAATAAAATGATTTTTGTTTAGTTAAATCAAATATTATTCGATTGATACGTGACATTTTATGTATAATATATATACTTCTCTAAAGTCATACAAGAAAAGAAAAAAATGTTCAAGTTTAGCTCCATCGAAAATAAAAAATAAAAAATAAATTTATATTGATATGAATTGTTAACAGAATTGATCAATCAATTTGTTTCGATGCAGCCCGACCAAAAAGAAGGGGAAATGAGATGAAGACGAAATGTTTGAATAATACTAAAGCTAACGGTTTCTGAAATAATTCCGAGTACTCTTTGCGTCTCCTGTCGACGAACAGATTTATAACAGTGTACAGTAAACACAGACGAGACATGTTTTATCCTGTTTTACTACTACTGGTATTATCATTCTTAAGCCGAGTGGATAGCCGACAAATCGATGCTTACGGTAAGTCACACTATTTATAATGAAAGGGCGAAACAAACGTTATAGTACTTCATAGAAAAAAATATTTTCTCCGTTATTGCAAATTAAACACTATCCAACATTTAGCATATAGTTTCTTTTAAGAAAGTAAATACTATCTTAAATTTGTATAACTCTCGGACTAGTCATAGACGAAATATATAAACTCGAGCTATGCAGAAGATTTTTTTCCGAATGACGCAATAATAGTTTAAAAATCAAACATTTAGATAAAACCCAGATAATAAAAGAAAATTAAGGTATCAAAATAAAGAAATAATACGAAGATTAATGTTAAACACAATTATATTGATAGATTTTGACTGGAATAAGCAGATGAGTACAAGCCTAAATTCTCGAGTTAAATGTGGCGAAAACATAATAGTTTATATCAGTCAATTCAAACAATATGAATCAATGAAATAGTACCAGGTTATTACAAAGAAAATTTGAT